AGCTCAGCTCAGCTTCACCAACTCTTACAGTCCCTAATTTTCTTACCTCTGTTTTTTTACAGCTCCTCTGTTTCCACTCTACTCAATTAGCTACTAAAAGACTCACTGTGTTCTATATAAAGCTAACAGTTACAAGTCTACAAAGCCTCAGAATCAGAAGAGAGTACATGAGTTTCCTCTTTAGACTCTTTGGTCTACTTCTTAGCATTTATTATTCACACATCATTACATAATAATATATATCAAACAAATGGAGAGGTTTCAAGGACACATCAACCCCTGTGTATGTATCTTTTTGCTTAATTTAGGAAGATTTCACTTTCTTTCTTCAATTTTTTATCTTCTCTTGAATCATTTTTTCTACTATTACACAAATAAATTGAACTTGCATTTACTCTTTTCCCTAATGAGTCCAGATGCTTTGCACTCAATGCTTTTCTTGTTTGCTTTACAGAAACCTATAACAATTCTGCAATCAATTTGTTTCCCTCTACTTTGAAAACATTCCATTTTCCCTTCTACTTTTGTTTTAAGACCCAACCAAACCAACAGTAGAATTGCATTACACTTCTTCTGTAATCATTCGACTTACCGGTAAAATCTCATTCCTCTGTCTTTCTTTTAGTTTTTGGATCGAAAAGCGGATGTGAGAAGCTTAGAAGTTGAAGGATTTGCAAAAGCTCAAAGCTTTGCCATTGAAGAAGAAGAAAGCTTGCAAGAATCAATTCCATTTCTACAAATGCTGCAAAGCGAACAAGACTCCTCGCCGTTTTTGTCAATGAAAGAGCCAAACTTTCTTGCGCTATTGTCTCTTCAGACACTCAAAGAGCCTTGGGAACTCGAAAGCTATTTCTCACGCATGGATCCTTATTCGCCGGTCCAATCCGAGACCAACCACTTCTACCACAACCCCATTTCAGCATCATCCATGGAAGGAACCAAGCAAGAACTCTCTTTTAGTCGAGCAAACATGACAATCCCTTCTTCTTCGTCCGCATCACCACCACACACCGCAAATTCAAGACGCAAGCGCAAAATCAGCCACTTGAAGCCTCAAGAAACGACTCGAGAGAAGAGAAAGAGGAGGAAAACTAAACCAACTAAGAACATTGAAGAGATTGAGAATCAAAGAATAAACCACATTGCTGTTGAACGAAATCGAAGGCGTCAAATGAACGAACATATCAACTCTCTCCGTGACATTCTCCCACCTTCATACATCCAACGAGT